TCAATTACATCTCCATTATCTAATACAACATCGTTTTCTTCAACGTCGTCAGCTTCGTCGTCATCATCTTCCTCTTCATCTTCATCTTCTTCATCGTCGTCTTCATCTAGCATAATATCTCTATCTGCACCATCGTCATTACCACCAAATCGGTCATGACGACGATGTCTATGGAGTTGTCCTTCAGCATCAATAATTTCTTCAACAATATCGCCACGTTCTATCATCACCTGATCATGAACATCCCACATTTCTTGGTCATCGTTACCTCTAACATGATGATGTCCTTCATCGTCACTATCATCATCGTTTTCTAAATGTTGATTTACTCCATGCTCAATTTCAGAATCATGATCATCGTGCCTTTCATTATCCAATACAACTGAGTGACCATGGATCGGTTGTCGGACTACAATTTCTACATCCATGTCGTCACCATTATCATCATCCCCTTCATCTAAATCGTCGTCGTTGCTAACATCACTAAGATCACTGCCGGTTCCTTCATCAAATTCACCATCATCATACCTTTGTTCATCAACTGATGAGTCTAAACTATCGTCATCCATTTCATCGCTATCCACTCTGCCTTCTAGAGTTCCGAGCACAGAAGTTGCGTACAAATCAGGTGCGTCCTCCGTTTCTGGATTCATTTCATCGGCAGATGGCGTGGATATGGAAGAAATACTGTCCCGACGTTGTTGCTCTTTGTTAGGAGCTTCAGGAGATCGACCCAGTTTAATAGCAACTTTTGTAAGACATTCAAAAGGTTTTAGTAAAGCGTTTATCAAAATTCTCGCTGAAGGATAATTGAGATCAACTTCCGCAAGTGCATCAGTTAAAGTGTTTACAAAATTTTTATCTAGCATTATTTTGGCGATGCTGGCGGGGCCATCATCAATTGGTTTGTTGGCAGTGGTGTTAGGACCAGTGCGTGAATTCAGTATAGCATAGCATAGCTCTGCCAAAGACAAAAGTCTTCCATATTTTGTTTCAATTGGATCTGATGAAGAAATTGCAGTTTTAAATGATTTGATTATACAATCCAAAACGAATTTTCGTACTTGTATTATTTCCGGCTGTGGTTTCTTATCATCTTCACTACCAACATTAGAACATAGTGCCACAAGAGCAGATGTTGTCCATTTTGATTGACCATAACGTTTTCGCATCTCAATATTAGTAGATGGTGTTATACAACCGTACGGTAATAACTCATTTAGGAGATAATACAAAAGAGAAGTTTTTGATTTCGATTGAGTACTAGATCCCATGCTGTTTCTGCGACGTGAAAGATTCACAACTTCAATTTTACATGATGGATATGAAGATAGAAGTTCAGTTAAGCATTGAAGTAGGAAACATCGATACAGATAATCTAAATGTTCTTCAGGTTTAAATACAGGTTGTGGGGTATTTGTGTTATTTGTAGATGTGGAGGTGGTTGCGGAAGAATTAGCATTTTCATTTCGATCGTTTAAATTAGTATCAGGTAGTTTTGTATCCAAAGTTTGATTAACTTGCACACGAGTTGCGACCAATTCATTTGCAATAAATTGAATGATGCTTTCAGCTGTTTCTGAACCGAATGAAAACTTTTTTGGGGATCCAAGTGAAACAGATGTCGACGGCACCGGTAATGTATCGGTCATCTCTTCTTCATTGACGGTTGTATCTTTAGTTGTGGCAGTACTAATATCTTCCGTGTCTGATTTAATTAATGTGATTTGTTGATTACGCCCATTAGTATCGTATCTTGATAATTTGTAGAGCTTTTTAGTGGATTGAATAAATATTTCTGGCGCCCGTAAAGCAAATTGAGCATTGTTTCGTAAATATGCATTGATATCGCCCCCTCGTGGGCGTGGATTGGCGAACCAATTTTTTATTTCTTTATCAATAATTGATTCTAAAACTGAAGCATCTTCAAGGGCGTGCCGTAATATCATGACAATGAATATCTGCTGACCACGGAAATCATGGGCTCTCGACTTAAATGTATTGAAAAGTAAATTCAGACCATCCTTGTTTACAAAATCAATGGCATCTGTATGACGGCGAGTAAGACGAACCACTATCCTAAGTAGTGCATTCATAATATCCTTATCCAAGTCCTTCCTTTTTAATAAAGATAAACAATAGTCAAGAAGCTGAGTTCGCGATTCTGCTTTAATGAAACTCAACTCGTTTAAGGGAACATTAATGTCTTTTGATTCATCAGGTTTTGTAACTAATTCTGTGCTAACTGGTTCTTCCGATGATGAAATAAACGCCTCAATAACTAACAAAGCAGGTGCAATCCATTTAGGCAAAGGACTCTCTAAAGGTAATCCAGTTTGCTCAGAAATCATAGTTATCATATCAGAAAATATATTAAAAGGTAAGTTTGGAATTTTTCCTTGTATACTATTCTCATTCAATAAAAGAGCTAAAAGGCGTAAACGAGAATTAAGAGCTTTTTTGCGCTGTTCGTCAGGATGACTTCGAACTGTTTCAATACTTTTTATTATTAATTTAATGTTCTGTTCAGCATCATCTTTGCTAAGAAGTACAAACAGGTCTTTTACTTCGAAAATAATGTCTTCAACTGCATCAAGAAGTTCAAGTGCACGAGTTGCTGAAGCAGACCTCAGCTTATCTCTAAGAGTCTTGAAATGATCTATATAATCAACTTCTTTCCCTTTACCTTTGTCTGGTTTTGTTGATGTGGTTTCAGTTTCCATAGGAATTGAACCATCATTTGCAACGGCACCTTCTACGGGAGTTTGATTTCCCTGCATAGATAATGCAAGAGCTTGAGCTAAATCATTGGACCTCTCATCTTCATTGTCAGATACATCATCGTCATCGTCGTCATCATCTCCAGATGTACCAGTCACATCAATCGTAGATCCCGCATCAGTAGGTGCATTACCTCTTGTTGAGGTTGTATCAGACGAATTTCGACCTGCTTCGGTAGATGGTGCCGCTGAGAAAACTGTTGCTGCAATAGTCTGAGGATGCGTTACCAAATATTCTGTAGCAGCTTGAACATGATTATTGCAACGTATAAGTGCAGCTTCAGCTGATGAGCGCTGGAAGCCCATATCAATTAATTGTTGAACTCGTTCTTCATCAGGTACCAACGATCTAGTAGCACCAAATAGTGTAGAAGTAGGTGCTGTTAATCCACTTGATGATCCTGATCCCTCAGGGCGTTGATTAACTTCCCCATCCGCTTTTAAAATCTGTACTAAATTTTGAAGAACAGATCGAACAATATTTGGGGGAGCTCTTGGAAGATAGGCGCTTTGCCAAAGTTCATTTATTACAGGAAGAATTTTTGCTCGAACGTTCACGAGAAAATTAAAGGGATCGAAGGGTTCAACACGTGGATCTCTGTCTTTTGTTGTTAGCGGCACTGTTTGGGGTGACTCGTGTAATAATTTAGATGATCCAACAAATTGGAAAAAGTTGAGTGTAACATCTATACATCCATGAATTCGCGAAAGCTTTTCTTTAGACCCCTCATCAACTTCAATTGTAGAATATTCTTCAAGGACTTTAATTCCCTCAGCCTCTTCCCAGAATTGGCGTAAGAGTTTAAATACAACATCCAATCCATTAACCCGGTCGAAAGAAACAACAAGCATTGTTTGAAG